AGGGGGAGTGTTATATAATATATGTATTTAGTGGATGTCCATTATATCCTTATGATTATTTTAGGATATTCTAGATATACTAGGCTTATTATTCTACAAGGAAACCCTAATTGTATCACATGTATGTATATATATATATGTATGTATGTATGTACTCCCACATATTTCAGTAATAAAAATGTAGATCTATTCTCTCCCTCTCTTTCTCCGATCCACTTTCTCCCACATCATTCAGTAACAAGTGTCATGAAAGGATTTGCTTTTACTCTTTTAGTATAGGTTGATAGAGTGTTGCAATATAATTCACTATAAAATCTAGTACAACCGTGCATGGTACGAGATTTAAGTTAGTTAAAAACTAGAAGAATTCCAACTTTTAATTTCGTGAATCTTCAAATATATCACACTTGTATTTCTTTGTGCGTCCACCAAGGGATTACTACAATTCATGGTAGTTGACTGTTTTGTTACATCCTGATTTGGAAGACATCTTTCCATACTAGTTAAATACTTAATTGAAAGAAGTTGTTACAGCTTTCATTCAAGCCTCTCTTGATCACTTGTCCATCTCGGTAACAACACGTTACAGGAATCAAAGCCAGTCTAATAACCGACATAGGCGAAGTCTTGAGGTACCATTGTACCACAATATTTTAATCAACTAAAATAGTTGACATCCACACGATAAATTACTATGACTTAACTAAGGAAGTAGCACAAGATGCTAAGGATACAGAGAAACTAGCTTTTAAGCGGCTGGAGCTACTAAGGTGTCGTTTTGTTGGAGGTAAATAGCATGGGAAATTCTATTTCCTAGGAAATGAAGAAATCATGTGTTGTTTGGTTGACACAAATTCATCAAAGTGGGGGAAATGGGAATTCCATGGGAAATAACTTACCAAGCCCCCCCTTGGTAAGTCACAATTCCTATAATTATTGTGGGGCCTACTTGCATTATTATCACTAATAATTTAATATCTTTCTTTCTCTCTCCAAATTTGTTAACTTAAATAAAAAATTATCAAGTTGACTAATAAAACATAGGAAATAAATTCCTAGGAAATCAAAGTTCCCATATTATCAACCAAACAAACTTAAGTTAATTCCTAGGAAATGGACAAGGGATATGTGAACTCATTTTTCATGTCAACCAAACAACACCTAAGTACGTGCGTGGAGCTTAGGATTGCCGGTAATCAGGTATAGTGCTGGATTGCTCTTGATGTACCGCACAAGCTAAGGATGCTGGTGGCTTGATATTCCTTGCACAAGATTATGATGTTGAAGGGCTCGAAGTGGCCAAATTTAAATGGTGAAGGGATCAAAGTGAAACCAATTTTTGTGCTTAATGTTGGTGATAATATTAGATTAACTATACAGTATATCCATTTATATTACAAAGTATAACTTCGTATTAGAGAGAAGAAAATTTGAGAAATTCCAATCCCCTCTAATTAACCCAATAATTGGACCGTCCAGTTAGTAGAGAGAAAAAAGTGTGAAATAATTTTGCATAAAAATCGTATTATGATAAAATCAATATGAACTAACGTTTCAAAGTATTAATTGAACATAGAGCTAGAGCTAGAGTTAGAGACAGATAAAATCATCATTTGGGTCCAAATAGTTTTATACTTGTATTTTTTTTTTCGTAAGGCTTGTTTTCTTAAATCTTGATAAAGCAAAAAATCTTATATTTAATATCATCATATGAGATGGTTTTACAATAACTCAGGGGCGGAGCTAGAAGGGGACGAGTGGGGACACTTGTCCCCCCATTTTCAAAAAAAAAATTAAAAAAAAAAAAATTTAAAAAAAAAAACAAAAAAACGCAATTACAGAGTGCTCTGTGCGACATTTGCAGCCAAACCCTAAGTCTTTCAATTTTTAATTTCTCTCTCTTCGATTCGCCCTCACCTCGCCAGAGTCGCCTGACGCTGTCCACCGTTCTCCGGCAGTTCGCAGCAGTGAGGCCAATGACGAGGTTCGACAGACGACAGCGCACAACGGACAGCCTTCAATTCCGTTCGACAGTCACCAAAATTAAAAAACCAAAGTCCTGTCTGTCGCTCGGTCGCTGCCTGCCAAACCCCTCATCGTCGTCGGTCGTCCGTCAGTCGCCAGTCGCCGCCTCGGTCATCTTCTGGTCTTCGCTGCATCTAAAGGTATGTCTTAACTCTTAAATATATTAATTTGTTCTTCTAATTGAAAATTTGAAATCCCCAATTTGCAATTTTAATTGTTAACCCAATAACCCTTTCTTTCTCCCCATACTTTACTTATTTTCTGAGGCTATATATTCTGAAAAGGGTATCGGAATTTGTGTCAAATATTGAAGGGGATTTGTTTTGGTCTTTAAATGGGGTTGGTGCTCCTGATTTGATCTTTATTTATGTGCCTGAAGGGTGCCGAGTTGATGCCCCTTTAAATTTGAGGTCTTTCTCACTGAAAGGGAGTGATGCCGAGTCGAATATGTTGCCGGTTTCGAACCCGAGAGTATTGGTGTTGATAGAAGGGAGGAGAGGTGGGTATAGTTGAGGTGTTTTTAGGTGGAGATGGTAACAAGTGTTATTGGACTAATTATGTTCTTGAGGTGATCATCGGTGAAGGAGCAACATTTAGCCATTTTTATGTACAAACACAATCTTTGGGAGCTGCCCATATTAAATGGACTTCCATTAGGCAAGTATATTTGGTTCTGCTTTTATTATGTTTTTGTTGATTAAGTGTCATTATGTGCAACACTTTAGATTTTGTGATATCCTTTGCTTATAATCCTGTTAGTGCATTATCATGTGATTGCTTATACTTCTATTCTTGTTGGTGCTTTGGTATATCAGGATTAAATACATTATAATGCAACTGTCTTCGCTTTTATATTATATCCATAATTTGTCCCCCCAATTTGAAAATCCTGGCTCCGCCAGTGCAATAACTAGTCTGAAATCAGGTTAACTTTCTAATTTAATATTTTCAAGAGCTAACGACAACTAATGTCCTACAATAAGTTAGTGTGCGATCGTATCATTAAAGGCGTGCTCTTTGTTACAAAGTACTACACCTTAGGAAGATTTTTCCATCCGAGACCACTTGATTTTTCTTGAATGCGATAAGACAAATGTATCTTTAATACATCACCGTACTTGGTAAGAAAATATCAACATCAACTAGGTCAAAGAACATGTACATAAGCACAAGAGATAATGCATGGTGTTTGAAAGAGAGAATTCAAGATGTTAAACAAACTTCCAAATTAAGGATGTACAGATAGATAGCGAGACAATCATTCGAATCTCTCTCTCACTACAAGATAAGCAATCATATTATCGAGGAACATATACCCTAAATTCATGAGTTCAACAAATGGTTAAAATTACAGCTATATTAGATTAAGTTATGAATCAATTGAATAGATTAAAGGAATTTTCCATCCAAATTGCATGATTATTCTTTCTTACATGTGATATATGTAAATTTATACCATAAGATATAACATAAATTTATTCCATGGGATAATTTGAACTTTGTATTGCATTTTACATAACATAGGAGCTTGTGCGGTGTCAAAAAAAAAAAAAGGAGCTTGTACTCATGGTGATATTTTGGAAGCTTGTAGTGGTTGATATCGGCAAAATTTTGCTGATTTTCAAGATCAATCATATCACGAGCAATGTTTTTTTGGTGTGGCCAATCACACCATGCGACAAGCTAACACATATCAAAACACTGATCAGATAATCCTTGACGGAATAACCCCGGCCATATATAAAATTTGTGTATCACGAGGATAATATAAACTCATCACAATGAGTGGATTCAAGAGTTTACTCATGACTCTAAGAGAATTTAAATTTCTCTTTCGAATACCCTTTATTTGGTCAAGAATTAAATATCGCCAAAATATGCCATAGTGAGTGAATGTGACCACTCCTAGGAATCTATCATCATTTTGTACCACAACATACAGCAGCCGGAGAACTAATCTTTGTATTGCAAATTGAAAGCATCAATGCATACAGCATACTAACATAATATGTTCGATTATATAACTTTATTTATATAGAAGTGCTTTTTTACTATTTAAGTTCATGAATCATAGCTTCATGCCATGAACAAAACCGGAATAGTTTATTCCATGAATGATTCATGAAAAGTGGAGCCCGGTTATGCTATTACATCATAAATTTATACATCTAAAAGTAGTTTTTCTCGAATAATAATTACAGAGTAAAAACAACCTGTAAAATAAGGACTTATCCTCTTTATGTAAAAATGTCCATACTAGTATTCAGTAAAAATTACTAATAGTTAAGTTTAGTAAATGTTATGAAATAGAGTTATGTATGTATTATGTCTTTGTAACCCCCTAGTTTTATTAGTTTCCTTTGTAACCCCCTTAGGCCTTTACTTTTTTTGTAACCCCCTTTTGTCTTTACTTCTTTAATCCTTCGCATAATGATGACTTTACATTCTCTTTGAGAGGTTACTACTTACTACTCACATGTATATATGTATGGGTATGGCCTAATGAAGATGATATATGGACAATAAAGATTACTCTTTACATCTTTCTTTTATTCTTCCTTTAATTTCATGTAATTTATAACAGTAAATATAATCTTAGTTCTTTATTCAAAAATAAGTTGAGTTTAGTAAGAAAAAAGTTGAGTTATTTTTTGTTATTTATTTATTTTTTTTAAGGAAAAGTTGAATTCAATTAATAACTTTTTCAATAAAAACAGGACCCGTGGGCCCCACAATGGATGTTAACTAGATAAAATTAATTTATTTACCAAAATATCGATAAACCTAAACATCCTCGATATAGTAGATTAGCATACTAGAGAAATACGGTACATTCCTTAAACTTAATTTTGACAACCTTCCATATATGTTTAGTAGAAGTATCTATTTTCCAAAATATTACGGAGTAAAATTCTTTTACTACGCTACGTATATCATTTCTATTCGCTTACGTGCTAGTCTAAAATCGATAGCATTTTCAAAAAAACATAAACTTTCAGCTTTCGCTTTACACATATTAAGCATAAATACCATGTGACTTGACCAACGTTGTAGCCAAATTACCATAGCAATTATCTAAATAGAGAACATCTAACAGTATAAACTCTATAAAGCATTAACCAACAATTTCATACTCAACCCTCAATTTTATTCAGCTCATCCCTTACAATGTCAGAAATTGATCCTGCATTCATTCAACCCATTGAACATAGGCCTAAACCCTTTACAATTGAAGCTGAAGGAATCCCAATCATTGATCTTTCTTCCATTACCTCAACCAATCACTACGAAAATGAACGTGGTGATATTAACAACATTGGAGTTCTTATAGCTGAGATAGGCAATGCCTGTGAGAAATGGGGATTCTTCCAAGTGATCAACCATGGTGTGCCACAAGAGAAGCTTGAGAGACTTGAGGTCACAGGTAGGAAATTCTTCGCCTTACCTCAAGAGGAAAAGAGGAAGGTGGGTCGAGGTGAGGCCAACCCAATCGGATACTATGATTCCGAGCATACCAGAAATGTTAAAGACTGGAAACATGTCTTCGATTTTACTGCTAAAGACCACTCCTATATTCCAGTTGATCCTGATGATCTTAAACCCAAGCAGCTCATTAACTGCTGGCCACAATCTCCTCCTGAGTTCAAGGAGGATGCCCAAGAGTATGCAAGGGAATTGGAAAAACTCGCGTTTAAGCTGCTGGAGCTGATAGCCTTAAGCTTAGGCCTTGCAGCAGATAGGCTGAACGGCTATTTCAAGGATCATGCAAGCATCGTGCGACTTAATTACTACCCGTCCTGCCCTTCTCCTCAACTGGTTCTTGGCCTTAATCGACATAAAGATGCAGGCGCCTTGACAATTCTGGCACAAGATGACGTTGGTGGTTTACAAGTCCGACGGAAATCAGATGGTGAATGGGTCAGTGTTAGACCCAACCCTGGTGCTTTTATCGTTAATGTGGGTGACATTGTCCAGGTAAGCATTACCCCACTTTCGGGATATATGAGGCTGTAATATAAACTTGGGGTTCTCTACATGTACAACTAAAATTCAGAAGTTGGTGACAAACACTTTTAACATAGTATATAAAGGCTAATTTGAGCACTGTTTTTCTTAATTGTGTGTGTGTGTGTGTGTGTGTGTGTGTGTGTTTTGCAGGTTTGGAGCAATGATAAATATGAGAGTGTGGAGCATAGGGTGATGGTAAACTCAGAGAAGGAGAGGCTATCTATTCCATTCTTCTTCTACCCAGCACATTACATCATGGTCAAGCCTTTGGAAGAGACAATTGACGACGAAAACCCCCCCAAGTATAATGAATATAATTGGGGAGTTTATTTTGCAACCAAAAGGAAAAATAATTTCAAGAAGCTACCAGTTGAGAACATCCAGGTCGCTCACTTCAAAATAGTCTAAGGTCTAACAGTGATAGTTAAACCTGGATGGAAGCAGAATTACAGTTTACAGTAAATCATACCAAAAATATCTGTAAAATCAGGTAGAATTATCCTCTAGCCTTCGAGATATCTAATGCTGTATTAGAGCATAATGTAGTCAGCTAAGAGCTAATAAAGTGTTCAAGAATCATTTTGAGTTATACTTTAGAATATGTATTCTATCTATATGTTAGGGTCAAGTGACCCTTTTAACTATCTCTTTACTTACCTCTCTACTCTAGCTTTGGGTCATGGACAAATGTACCTATCATATCAAAGACAAAGTCTGATGAAAGATGATCTTACAAGAATATTGCAAGACAAAGTGACTCTTCCTGTTTTAGTGGTGAATCATTACATTTGGAGGGTATAAATTAGAAGTTTCAGAACAAAAGTCCTCAACTTTCAACTAAACTACTAATACCTCCGTCCAAAATTAGCTGTCACGTTCTTGAATAAATTTCATAATTAAGCAATTATATTAAGTATTGCGTTTGACATGAATAATGAGGTTTTGTCAATACTGCTTGCTGCTCACTATTCTATTAAGTATCGTGTTTGACACGAATAATAAGGTTTGTCAATACTACTTGCTGCTCACTATTCTATTAAGTATCGTGTTTGACACGAATAATAAGGTTTGTCAATACTACTTGCTGCTCACTATTCTATTAAGTATCTTGTTTGACATGAATAATGAGGTTTGTCAATACTCAATACTACTAGCTGAATTGCTGCTCACTATTCTAAGGAACTATTACCATCCCCTAATATCATATAGTACAGAATCAGATTTCAGCAAAAGTAGGTAGAAACATAACCTACATTTTTTTAGACCATAAACATAACCTACATGAGGTAGAGTAGGATGTTCAATAATATTTTTTCAAGAACATGACATTATAATCAGGAGGCTCACCATCTTGGAGTTGAGATTTTCACTGTGCTAAAGGAAACAATGTAAGAGATACATGTTTATCATACTTTGACACAAGAAAAAATTTGGTCTGATCAAGATAGCAAGTTACCATATAATGTTGCTTTTATTCTGGTAATGACTCTACTGACGCATCAGTAGCGGAATTTTGTGCTTCCAACAGTTGCATTTGACGCTCTGCATGTTCTCTTTCACAAGCACTAATCCCCATTATAATGTCCAGCATGGTGCCTGTCGTTCCAAAGAATACCAGTGGTGCAAGAGATTTCTTCTTTATTCCAACAGGAATCGCTACCAAAGCACCCAATACGGAAAAAACCCATGTTCCTAAGGCACTGCAAGGAAAACATAATGAATATTGCATTTGAACAACTGATACATAATCAAGATGAAAATAGTAGGTACAACAAACACCACAGCTAAATATGTGAGGCATGTCTTTCCAAATATCAAAGCCAAAATCAAGGTTGATCACTTAAAAGCTATTATATAAGAGGTTCAGAGTAGCAAAAAGATCCTATGAAATTACAAGCTGGAAATAGTGTTTTATTTAACTCGATTATCCCCCCAAGAACACATGAACGAAATGTGCAAATTGGCATCTGGTAACTCTATTATACCAGAGCTATACTTTTAGATTAGTTTAACAAATCTTAGTAATTTGTTTTCCTGTACTATAGCGTAAAGCATAGTAGCTTACACAATCCTAACAGATATATAATCCTATATTCCTTTTTTGCTGCTATACAATTTGAAAGCAGTCTGTACACTGTATAATAAAAGTAACTTACTCAAAACCGTGTCTTTGATACTTCTAGTCTCAAGAATCTCAACATTGCACAGACAGCTATTTCCCCATTAACATCACCCACAAATTGAAATATTAATTTAAATAGAGTTGGTGCAACCACGAAGCTACAAGAAAAAGAGATATCGATCACAAGGAGTTGCACAACATTAACTACCGTCTATGTTACCCATATTTGGGTTTTGGCACTATACGTGAGGATAATTCAGCTATACACAACAGATTTCCATGTTTTTGGACCAAAATTAAGCATCGTGTACTCGCGTGTCCATACCCAAGTTCAAGAGTCAAAAACTCTGACATGGGTTGGTGAATCATCCAATATCATATAATCTGATTCAAGGTAAACTTACCACTGACATAAATAATTAGATTGTAGCACTTGTATATAGCTGATTCAAGGTAATGCAATCAAAAACCAGAAATTTCTTCTCTTTCCTTTCAATTTTTTTTTTCCTTTTTGTGGGGAGGGGGGATACTGGATGATTAAAATAGAAATATAATATAATTGTCTCAATTAAGCATGACAAACTGAATTAATGATCAATAACTTATCTCACAATCAGCAGAAAAATGCTTTAAAATAAGCAATTTGATCAATAAGGGAAGAAAAAAAAAAAAAACCCATGAAATGAAAACAGCAAAACCCCAAAACAACAATGTCAAATTCCAACACATTACATTAAGTAGAAAATTCAGGGGATTGAAGGAAAGAGACAAACTTTGAAACAGAGCATTCCTCAAGATGCTTAACTTCTTCTTTTCCAGCCATTTTGATCTATTTTGCACCGATATATCAATTGTCTGTTTAATATTAAAAATTAATTGATCAGTGAAATTGGTAAAATGGCCTCATTGTAAATGAATAACAGAATTACAAGAATTTAACAGATGAGGAGAGAGAGGAAGGAAGAGGCGAGAACTTACTGAAACTGAACCGGAATTAGCAGAGTTTGGGTTCTTTCTTGGAAAGGAAAGAGAGTGAGAGGGAAGACAGGAAAGAAAAGAGAACCCGAGCGAGGGTGACCAATTGTACAAGAATAGAGTCAACTTGTGAGATCGGTTTTAATTTCAGATCGGGATCAGGTCTACTCAACTTACGTCAATTGTTGTGATTTGTGAATGAGCCGAGTTGAAGAGTATTGTAAGGTCCTGTTCACCTCACCTTAAAAATTGATACTCTCTTCGTCCCTTTTTGTTAATCACTTTTGAAGGAAAATCATGGGAATTAAGATGGAGAATGTGAAGTAATAAAAGTACATGGTAAAGTGATTAATACAAAACCCTAGCCTCCTCTTTCTCTTCTCTCTCCTAAACTCTAGCCTCCATTGTTAATTTCGAATGGGTTTCCATCGGATTTTACCGATGGAAAGCCCTAATCTTTATTTCCTTTAAGATTTTAATTGTTTTCCTTATTTCTTAGGTTATAATAAATGTCTCCCTCGAAAGAAAGGGTTTATTTCCTTCGAAAGACAAGGTTTTTCGAACTCCTTCAAAAGACAATGACTACGATTGATTATTGCTCGGATTGGGTTACAAAATCAGCACAAGAATTTTCTTTTTCACAAAATTATGAAGCGGCGACGGATCCGCTCAAAAAACTGTATGAGACAATGAATAGAGAATGTGCCGAATTGTTATATTTATGTATTTGGATTCTTAGCCCTTCCCCTATCAATTCTTGTTTGATTTTGTTAGATCTGTTTTCATTATTGTTGATTGTCAATTGTAGATGTCGTATGACTTTAATTATTAGTGTCCATTAGGACTTTTTTTTTTAAAAAAAAAAAAAAAAAGTATATGGGAAAGTGAAATTCCCAACCAATAAAATATAATAAAAGTGCATGGGAAAGAGACATTTTCAATTAAAAAAGTAATTAAAGTACATGGAAAAGAGAAATTGAGATATTCAAGAGTGTAAAACATTAAATTAGTCAAAAGTTGGCACAATTTTTATGGAAAATGTTAGGGTAAAAAGGAAGAGGACTTAATAAGGAAAAAAAAAATGAGGGTATAAAAGTCTTTTTATGTATCTTCATAATTATGAAAATATGAAATGTGACAAACATTTAGGGGCACCCAAAATGGCAAAAGTGACAAACAAAAAGGGACGATGGGAGTATTCAGTAAAAATAATTTCAGTTCGGCAAAAATAATTTCAGTTCAGTAAAAATAAGTTCGGTTCAGTAAAAATAATTTCACTTCAATAAAAATTAGTAACTTTAAAGAAGAAATATAACAGAAAATCAGTAAAAAAATAATTTCAGTTTAGCAAAAATAATTTCAGTTCAGTTCAGTAAAAATAATTTTTAAAGCTCGGCAAAATTAATTTCAATTCAGTAAAAATAATTTTAGTTCAGCAAAAATGAGGTCAAGTAAACGGGACCTAAATATTTGTAAATCTTAATCAACAACAATAGCCACACCTTATTATATTTTATTTTTTAGAAACACCTTATTATATTTATTGTGCTAACATTGTTTATCGAACTCAAAAACTAAATTTCAATCAAAACTCGAACTAAAGAAGAAAAATATCTCTATATCTTCACAAAGTAAAATTTATGGGAGGTCAAACAACGATTTGTGGGATATTAGAAGTCTACGTACATATATACACCGGTCCAAAATTGGACCACACCTGTTGGGACCGGGACCTGAATTAGTGAATTCTGAGGACCGGAGACTGGACCTGATTCAACAAGTCCGGTTCCAGGTCAGACCTGAACAATCGGTCCGGTCCGGGTTTGGTCCTCAATAGACCTGTTTTGTATATTTTTTTTCGTTTTTTTTATAAATAACCTGTTGGTCTGTTATGATAATTTTAGACCTGTTGCATAATTTATTAATTTACATAATCTCAAATTATCAATCACAAAATTACATAAATTCTATAAAGTCCCAATTCTTAAATTATCAATCCAATTAGACCAAACAAACAATAATCCAAGACCAAACCCATCAAAATTAGCAAACTAATCATCAACAGATTCAACACCAACAAAACCAAAAATGAATCAAAATTATACCGTGAGGAGCAAATTAACAGCCATTATAGTCTCATTCTTGGTCATAAACATATAAATTCTCACACTTAATTCAATATTTCAAATACAATTATAACCAAACATAATTAGATTTACATTTTTAAAAAAATACTTACAGGTAGTAGCGGGGGCTAGCGGCGGTGGCTGTGTGGCTGATGCAGCGTGCAGGGAGGGTTGTCGCGCTGGTGGGCGCTTGGCCGGTGTCTGGTGGTCGCCTGAGGGGAGAGATTGAGTGCGTGAGGCGCGACTGGGTCTGGGTGTCGTGACTGAGTGAGGCTGTGAGGGAGTTATGGTTTAGAAAGGAAAACTGATTTTTTTGTTTTGATTTTTAATTTTTTTTTTTGTTTTTAAAACACAATTTTACCGGGTTTCGGGTTCGGACCTGAAACCCCCGATTTTAGACCGAATCCGGACCGGAACCAGAATCCCTAAATTTCAAGGATCGGGACCAGACTTGAATCTACAGGTCCGGTTCGGGTCGGTTTTCAGGTCCGATCCTATTTATGTACACTCTTACGTACATAGTTAGGCAAACAATTAGTCATGAGCATCAAAAAGTAAACTTTGATTGCATGCGTTCTAATATTTTTAATGTGTGAGTGTGTGACCTTAGTTCATTAACCAAATTTTATTTTATGTTTATTCACGTAATTGATGATCGAGTATTTTATGTTTATTCACGTAATTGATGATTGTGTAAAAGTCAAATTGTTGTAATTAATTTTTAGTACAAAAGTAATTTAGATAAGGATCTTGTTGATGAGCATCTTGGGGCATTAGATAAAATTGTACTCCGTATTAAGTTTGGAATGCATGGCAAAATCACACGCCATCCAGTGTAATATATCTCTATATTTTTATTAATTAAAAGTAGGGGGTTAACGAGACAAAAGCAAACCCCAAATGCTCCTTTACTAAGAGCCACCTCCCTTGCCACGTCATAATAATACAAAAAAGGCAATCAAGTTAACTATTAATTATACTTTTAGTAACACATCAATAGAGTTAAAAGGAAAGTTTGTCACCAATCAATCATAATCAAATAACAAAATACGAAGTACATCCTAAAGATTTCAATAGGAAAAATAAAATAAAATAAAATAAAACAATAGTATTATTTTTCTTTGCAAATCGACACTATATTCTACTCGCTAGTTAATAATTATATAATTTAAAATTTCCACTTCTAGTCCCCTTATCTAATGTTTAGGGGTGTTAGTTAGCTTTTTACTTTCAATAAATTTCATTTTTTCACTTTTCTTTAACACTTCATAATTACATGAAATGTCATTAAGATATTTCACCATCCACAAATCTCAATGATTACTCTACTATCTCTCAAAATAAATGATACTCCGTAAACATTATCGCATATATCATTCCACTTTGTTTACTTTCATCTCATCCAATATTTCACAATACCACAAACATGTTGAAATTATAATAAATCAGAACAAGATAATTGAACATCAAGAGTATCTTTACAGATAAGTACATGATACACCTTACTCTCCAATCTAATCTAATCCAATCATTAAACGAACCTTACAACACAGAATCATATCTTAATGTCTAAGCAAGAGTAGCCATGTACAAGTATATTTATTACTTCATTCTTAAGCAATCCTATACTTAACATTAACAATTTTCCAATCTTAATAATCACATAATAAAATGATAAAAATAAGAATTAGCGTTACAATAAAGCTACTCGTATTGGGCTTGGATTAGTTCTATTTATAGATTGTTACTTGCCTAAAATAACCCATTTCCTCATTTCTCCTTTTTCATTTTGTCTCTCCTGCCAAATTCATACTTTTTCAAAGACAACGGTTTAACCTCAACTTTTTCGAACATTTCAAATTTCAAAAACCCAGAAAATCTCAAATCTCCATTTTCTCTCTCCTCGATCCCGCCTTCAACTTCATCAATGGGGGCAGCCAACAGTCGCGAAGGTTTAGAGCTTTCAGATTCCGACGAATACGATGAGCGTGATTCCGAAGGTGAAGAAGATGAAGATTACGACACTTCTGAAGAACACCAAGATGAAGGAAACCTTAGTCATGGCGGTAAAACTGGTACTACTCCTTCTTCGTCTTCTTTAGATGATGTTGAAGCTAGATTAAAGGCTTTGAAGCTTAAATACTCAACTCCTGTTTCTGGGTCTTCTTCGAGGAAGAACGCTGTTAAGCTTTATCGGCATGTCGGTGGTGGGACGGCTGATTCGAAATGGAAGACTGCTGATGCTGCGACGTCGTATTCTTTTGTGAAAACTCGTGGGGAAGATGAGGAGGAAGAGGAGGAAGAAGAAGAGGGGGATTTGTATTGGGAATTGCGAGTTGGGTCGAAAATTAGGGCTAGGGTTTCGACGGATTTGCAATTGAAGATGTTTCCGGATCAATTGAGGATTGATTTTGTGTGGAATGGTGTCTGGGCGTTGAAATTCTTTGAGAAGAATAATTATTATGATATGTTTGTGTCTGAATTTCAGGATTGTTTGTTTGAGAATGTTCATGGGGTTGAACCTACTGAGCAGAATAAGGTGAAGGTTTATGGGAAGGATTTCTTGGGGTGGCTTAATCCTGAAGCCGCCGACGATACGATGTGGGATGCGGTTGATGATGAAGGGCCTGGAATGAGTACCCCTAAGTCTACTCCGGTGAGGGCGAAGCAGGATTTGCTTGAGGAATTCGAGGAGGCGGCGAGTAGCGGGATTCAGAGCTTGGCATTGGGTGCTCTTGATAATAGTTTTCTTGTTGGGAAAGAGGGTATTCAGGTTGTTAAGAATTTTAGGCATGGAATTCATGGGAAGGGGGTTAATGTTAAGTTTGATAGGGGTAATGGTTCTAGCTCTAATGTGAATTCTTCGAGTTATACGACCCCAAAGAAGGCGATTTTGATGAGGGGGGAGACTAATATGATGCTAATGAGTCCTGTGTTGGAGAACAAACCTCATGCTGGAGGGCTGCATCAATTGGATATTGAGACTGGAAAGATTGTGACTGAATGGAAGTTTGCTAAGGATGGTGCTGATATTTCGATGAGGGATATCACTACTGATAACAAAGGGGCTCAGCTTGATCCCTCAGGGTCTACATTCTTGGGTTTGGATGATAATAGGTTGTGTCAATGGGATATGCGTGACCGCCGTGGTAATGTGCAAGACATTGCCTCTGCTAACTCTCCTGTGTTGCATTGGAATCAAGGACATCAGTTCGCTAGGGGCACCAACTTTCAGTGCTTTGCTTCGACAGGGGACGGTTCAATTGTTGTTGGTTCGATTGATGGGAAGATTAGACTGTATTCCAAGACCTCCATGAGACAGGCTAAGACTGCATTCCCTGGCCTTGGTTCGCCAATTACCAATGTGGATGTTACCTATGATGGCAAGTGGGTGTTGGGTACCACTGATACATACTTGATTCTCATTTGCACCTTGTTTTCTGACAAAGATGGAAGGACTAAGACGGGGTTCAGTGGTCGTATGGGTAATAGAGTTTCTGCCCCTAGGCTGCTTAAGTTAACTCCGGTTGATGCTCATATGGCTGGGGCAAACAACAAATTCCATGGCGGTCAATTTTCATGGGTAAGACGGATATTACTTGTATGCTTGTAGCATTTATACTATGTAGTTACCTCATCTGATTGCTCATTTATGATTTCAGAATTTTTATTGGATAGGAAGATATATTTGCTGATTTCTAGCTATCTGTTAGCTTATGCTTGCTTGCTGTTTGTGTGAATGGTTTGTCTATAGTGCATATGTTAAGTTACAAAATTCAATATTTCCGGCAATGCCAAACTAAATGAGAAACCCTTTAGAGAAGGTAGTAAATATGAGGATAGTGAATTCGAAAAGGGAATTATGTAAACTAACTCATTTTTATATTAGTTAGCTATGTAACAATTCTCATATTATTTGTTAGAATACCAAAATAACAACAATATCAGAGCCTTTATCCAAAGGACGGGGTTGATGCCTTGTGGTTTAAAGGAAGGATGGTGTGGAAATAGGTTATTGGCCCTGATTCCCATTTCTCTATATATTTTTATGATATTATATGAAACATATTTTGGCTAGAGTTGGACTCAATATTACGGTGTTACCTACTTCTCTAATCCCCCCTGTGTATCCTGAACCTTAGTTAAATGTACAGAAGTTTTGCTCCCTGTGCTTGTGCTTGGACCCTGGAATCTTTGTGGTTTAGTGGGAAAGTATATATGTCAAAGTTTTGAATTTTCAAACAAAGCAACCTTGCTACTTCTTACTTAAATTGTTTTTTCTGATTTAGGTTAATTTGGGTCACGGTTAAGCCTTTTTATTCATCAGAAATTTAAACCTCTGTAAATGCCTTAAATTAAAAAAGAATGGATAGGTTATTGACCTTGTTATCCGTTTTTCTGTTTATTTTTGTGATATGGTATCTAATATATTATGCCTTGGCTGAGATGGTGCTGTTAGACGTAGTCCCCCCTTCCCCTTATGTGCTTTGTTGATGGACCTTGGAGTCTTACGTGATGTGTTGGTCTTTCTGATTTGGAATTTTATATCAGATGTTTTTGATGAACACGGAGAAGGATTTTTATTGTCTTGTTTTATATTCCTGCTTTAAGTAATTTATGAACTTGGTTAATGCTTTATATTGTCGTGCTTTGTATTGGGCCGTTCGTCAAGCTTCAACAAGCTATGTAATTGACGATGAACCTTATCACTGAAACATAACTTGCTGGCCTGAGTTTCTTTTTAGGGATGTATGTGTTGGTAATTTGCTGATTCTATACCGGCTTAAAATTCTTGTATTTTTGTAATGCATTTATTGAAGGTACATCAGATATTTAATAGAATCAGAAGACAAATTGGGAACAGAGGTTGTCACTAAATATTTACTTATTAATTTTTGCGTGTTTGCAGGTCACTGAGGAAGGTAAACAAGAACGTCACATAGTTGTTACAGCTGGAAAATTCAGTGTCATTTGGAACTTTGAGCAAGTGAAGAACAGCGCGCACGAATGCTATCGGAATCAGCAGGGCTTGAAGAGCTGCTACTGCTATAAGATTGTTTTGAAAGACGAGTCTATAGTCGACAGTCGCTTCATGCATGAGAAGTTTGCTGTTAGCGACTCTCCTGAAGCTCCTCTTGTGGTGGCAACCCCTATGAAAGTGTCCTCATTCAGCATATCAACCAAGCAATGACAGTATAGTACTGCCATTGTATGCCAGTTATCTAATGATTGTGAACAGCACGCCTGCTGCATCAGTAGAACTTTTTTTTCCTTTCTATTTGTTTATGTTTGTAAGTAGGGCTGCAGCACGTGTTCTCAAGTGCATTTCTAAATTGTGTGCTCGAGAGGATTCTATAGATTGTATTGCTTTAACTAGAAACGTTTTACTTAACTAGTGTTGATTACTTGATTAGGATATGGAAGACAGCTCTGAAATCTGAATGACAAATGCAGTCATTGAAAATTTCTGAAGTCGTTTGGAATTGAGTGATGCTGTCCTGAACTGTGGTTTGGTATTTTGTTAAAAACAATTTCATATAATGTTGAATGAAATTGAACAAGCTATCTGTTTTCTTTCTTGTACTCCCCTCATTTTCAAATTTGCTTGATTCATTTATTTTTCCCAAAAAAACTCTCCTATAATTTAACTAACAAGGATAATATTGGCCGCCAAAGTTACTGTATTTTTTTGCAGGATAATTTTATTTCTTGGCAGCTAAACACGACAAATTCGCTTAATACAAGTACATCTTACCATTTAAAGACAAGGAACTGCACCCAGAAAATTCCAAATTTATATCACATGGAAAAACCCCCCTTAACCCAATAATTGGGAAAAGGGGGAGATACCAAAGTTCATACTTTGTAAAGTTGTACTTATAAAACATCCTAAAATACAGAGTTGTTGACAAGATTAAGGTCCGAGGTTTCAGTAGTGATGGGGGATGTAAACCCAGATTTTATTCAACCCTCTGAATTCAGGCCAAATCCCACCTCAATCATTGAAGCCAAAGAAATCCCAGTTATTGACATATCCTCTGCAAGTGATGGGGTGATAGCAGAGATTAAGGAAGCATGTGAAAAATGGGGATTTTTTCAAGTGATTAATCATGGGGTGCCTATGGAGAAGAGAGAAAAGGCGGAGTTGGCGGCGAGGAAGTTCTTTGGCTTACCCCTTGAGGAGAAGAAGAAAGTTAGGAGAGATGAAGAGAACCCTTTGGGATATTATGATTCAGAGCATACAAAGAATGTTAGGGATTGGAAAGAGATATTTGATTTTACGGTTTTGGACCCAACTTTGATTCCTGCTTCACATGAGATTGGAGATGAGGAGATCAGAGAACTGAGGAATCAGTGGCCTGATTATCCTCCTGACTTCAGGTACTTTTATTATGTTCAATTAATTTTTTTTTATCAGTCATTACAAATTTAAATATTTTTTTCGATATATGTTCAATCTGGAATTCTGGATGGCATGTTTTTCGATATTATAGGTATATCATAGGGAGTTTTGAAATATAAATTAGTGTTTGTTCTGTTGACACACATATACATGATCAAATCTTGGAGATTGGTGAAGTGTTCCTGGAATAGCGGCGGTGCCAGAACAGTAAACTTGTATTTGATACTTTGATTATAATGAATTATTTACCTGTTGATTTTCTTGAATTAGGATGAGAACTTAAAGGAAACTGGATTGTTATTTCAGATATTTTGTTATATGCTGACTGCTAAGCACTTATTGATTACTTATGTTAGCACCCCCAAATCATTTTGGAACTAAGGATTTGTTGTTGTTGTTGTTTGGTGGACATTCTTAGATTGATCTGGGAGATAGATGAGGTAATTCGATAAATTTGGTTAGAATCATTGCAGAATGGAGATTGAGCAGGATATTAATCGGTGTCACACGTTCCCTTCTTCTCGTGGATGATCAGTTTTTATTCTGATCTTCCTACTTGGATTACAATGCTGTCAAATTGTAATTCTATTCATGCTAGTCATGTACTGCATTATAAAATGCCAATAGTTCAGAATTGTATTGTTTCTTGTTTCTTTCTATTGCAGTGGCTTTTAAGTTCTTGGTCAGTTTGATTGAATTTTGGTGCATCTCTTTTTGATTGATAACTCACCCAGGGCCGCTTGTGAAGAATACACTAAAGAAATGGTGAAGCTATCTTATAAATTGTTGGAGCTTATTGCATTGAGTTTAGGTGTCCCTGCAGATCGTTTTAGTGGTTTTTTCGAGGATCATGCATCCTTTATTCGTATTAATTACTATCCACCTTGCCCCTACCCTGACCTGGCTCTTGGAGTTGGTCCTCATAAGGACTCTGGTGCCTTGACTGTCCTTGCACAAGATGATGTTGGAGGACTAGAAGTTAAACGGAAAATGGATGGAGCATGGATCCTTGTGAAACCCACCCCTGATGCATATATAATCAATGTCGGAGATGTAATTCAGGTACTCTTTTTAATCTTCAACCCCTCCCCCCCCCCCCCCCAAGCCACACACACACACAAAAAAAAATAATAATAATAATAAAAAGAGGCCATTAGTACTGATCCGGTTCTAGATTTCTAGTTATATGCACAATATGACTTACCCGCGGTGATTAAATCCTGTCTATGTAGTCACATGGTTACAAGGAATGTGCCATGATATAGTGACCAATTGACCATGACAAGAAAAAAGATGCAAATTTGATAATCATCTGTTTTTTTGGTACTTTGAATTCATTGTAGAAAGTGTATCTTTGAGGTGCCTCAGTAAGTCAGTGAAGTACCTTATTGTAAATTAACCTTCTGTTAAAAAGACCAATTTTGATAATATAATGGAGTCAAGGGGTTATGAACTTTTGATAATATGAAGTTTGCATAGAATTATATTTTTTTCTAGCTATTGACTATTTTCTTGGGAATATGCTGAGTTAGCGGGATTTATGTTGCGATATATTACTCAACCTTGCGTAGGTACGTTTGAAAGTAGGATCCCCTTGTCTAGAACATGATGGTGATGTTGCACTGCTTGTTATGCAGGTTTGGAGCAATGATAAGTATGAGAGTGTGGAGCACAGAGTAAAAGTGAATATTGAGAAAGGGAGATTATCAATTCCATTCTTCTTTAACCCGTCACACTATGTTACAGTCAAGCCTTTGAACGAGCTGATTGACAAACAGAACCCTGCTAAGTACCGGGAATACAACTATGGGAAGTTCTATACCACAAGAAGGCTCAGCGACTTTAAAAAGCTCAATGTTGAAAATGTCCAAGTCGCTCATTTCAAAATAGTTGAATAATATAGGATTGGTTGCAACCACAAAATATGTTACTGTCTGTGTGAAAGGACACAAAGTCTGCTATTTCAGTAAGAAGTATAAAGCTTTTCTCAATAACAGATGATGTACTAGATGTTTGATACCTTTTGTGTTCTCATAACAGATGATATACTTACGTAAATTTGTGATTAGGATGAGAATTAAGGGCCAAGTATGAAGATAATCCTGCCCATTGTTTTGATGTACGAATACAACTATCACGTACTTCGTATATATAAGATGCAGATTATGACTATGTTAACTTGGCTCACTTGTTAAAATATACATCTTTATGAGACTTTTTGTACTATAATCTTTCAGTAACATATTCTCAACTTTGTAGCCATTGTCTTTGGCTGATTTTATGTATCTATGCTGGCCTACATTTCTTCAGTAATCTTAATCTGTCCAGAAATTGGCTTTTCAATCCATATGCTTTCATCAACTAGCATGATTTTTGGAATTTATTGTTTGAATATGAAAAGGACTTTTTAGTCGTTATATTATGTTTTTGCCATATTATTGAGGTTGTTGATACTGTCCAAGTATTTTCTATTAACTTCTTGGAAAATATATCTGATGCCAGAAATCATCAACTTTCCTGACCACATGTAGAGCACCTTATCATTAAGATCTTGCACATTTATTCTTCCAGATTGATTGCACCAAATTTTTAGCAAAATCAGCCTAAAACAGAACTGTAAAATTTCCATGGAGAAAACAATGAGACGTGCTATATCCTTTGTACTCATCCTGTTTCTGTTCTTTGCTGCTGCTTCTGCATCCACAGCGAAAAATTCTCAGCTTGAAAAAGATTTTTCCAAACATATTGTGCTAATTCATGGGTCTTGTTTTGGAGCATGGTCTTGGTACAAAATAGTGCCATTACTAAAATCAGCAGGACATATGGTCACTGTGATTGATTTAGCTGCCTCTGGGATCAACCTTTTGCACGCTACAGATGTTCGATCCTTCTCTGATTACACTCATCCATTTATGGATTTCATGGAATCCATTCCCCCACATAAGAGGGTGATACTGGTTGGTCATAGTTCTGGTGGGGCTGTCATATCCCAGGCAATGGAAAATTTTCCAGAGAAGGTGTCCGTGGGTGTATTTCTGACTGCAGGAATGCCTGGTCCATCCCTCAATTATTCAGTTATTGCTAAAAAGGTGACATTCATGTATGTGGTTTAATTTGAGTATGCTCAGTGATAAGAATTCGACATTGCTAAATTCTCTTTAAATGCAATGCAGGCGATGAGTAGAGTGGCTCATGCACTGGACAACAAATTTACATATGATAATGGTCCTAACAATCCTCCAACAACCTTTGTATTTGGGCCCAAGTTTCTATCACAAGTAGTATTACAATATAGTCCAGCAGAGGTATGCACCAATATTTTTGAATTTTCCTTTTGCCATATATGCAATGTCATGTGAATATATAATGTACTTGATATGTAAATCACCAAGCCATTCTTGAATTTATTGACAGGATGCAGCTCTTGCAACAATATTGGTGAGACCTAGACCGGTGGTCAGTATAGAAGGTTTGATCTTTACGAAAGAAAAATATGGATCAGTGAGTAGAGTTCTCATTATTTCGGAGGAAGACAAGATTGTGACAGAAGACGCTGTGAAGTTGATGATTATGAAAAACCCTCCAAACAAGATCTTTACAGTAAAAAGTTCGGATCACATGGTTATGCTATCTCAACCCACACAACTTTTCGCTTATTTACTTAGTATTGCACACGAATTCTCCTGATTGTTTGCTTCTTCAGAATCAGCAAAGTTCCAAGGTTGCTGATAAAAGTCTTCTCAGTTATAGTGTTATACCTTATACTCTGTCAGAAAATATGTCAAAGTTTCTTTGCAATAATCAACTATCTGTAAAATTAAATTCATCACCCATACATGAATTTTTTTTAGGTACAGTTGACCTGTTTTGTTTATAATTGTATTCAATATATGAACCAATGATCTTCCATTATTCCATTTCAATCGAAATACATTTTTCTTTATGTGTGATTTTTCGATAGTTATATCATTACTTGCAAAGGACGGAGTAATTATAGATCATGTTAGCACAAAGCTTTAGATATTTCCACTGTTTGTGGATTACAGGCATGCTTGTGTCATTTATTTAACTACTATATTTTAACGGAGAAGTTTCCTTTTACTAGGAGAAAGCAAACTTAAGTTTTGGTACACTAATCAAGATCATTATTGTGGAGATCTTGAGCATTTTCTCAATAATTATAATTACATGGCCATTATCCAATTAATTTTTTTATTTTGCTTAGCTGAATTCAGCAGCTTGTTGCAGAAAAGTCAATGTCTTGCGTTCTTTGTTACTGTAATTTTTTTTTCTCATTGAAGTTTGAACTTTCTTGTTTTTAAGTCTAGCAAAGTAGCAGACCTTTAACCTGGAACTTCTAACCATTTCTAAGCCTCTGCAAAGGGTTACCATAGTCAAAACGCGAAAAATGCTGAAAAGAAATCTGCATCAGGGACTGATTTCTCTGAAAATCCTTCTGATTATATTTGTTGTGATTGAGGCATCCTATGAGCAGCTTGATCATCAACATAGTCATAAACCTTTGAGCAAGCACTTTGTACTGGTTCACGGATCTTGTTTAGGAGCATGGTCCTGGTACAAGCTGCTTCCCCTCCTTAAATCATCTGGTCACACAGTCACTGCAATTGATTTAGCTGCTTCCGGGATCAACCCTTTGCAGCCAAATGATCTTCAATCCATATCTGAGTATTTTCAGCCGTTGGCAGACTTGATGGTTTCTCTTCCCTCTGATGAAAGGGTGATTCTTGTAGGTCATAGTTTAGGTGGGTTGGCTATATCTCATGCTATGCAGCATTTTCCTGATAAAATCTCGGCGGGTGTTTTTGTCACAGCTCAGATGCCAGGACCAAATCTTAACGTCTCCATTCTTAGCCAAGAGGTAACCTTATGTTTAACTTGTTTTCAAACCTCTGAAAACTTTAGTTATCAGTCTCTATTTTACTCGTTTGATTATCTGTTACTCTGTATGAACTACAAGTATAACAACCTCAGAGTCAATAACGTTGTGGCTTTATCTGACATTGTTTGCAGTTATTGAACAGAAGTGGACCTGGATTAGATAATAAATTTATGTATAACAACGGTCCAAATAATACTCCGACTACCTTCTTATTTGGTCCGAATTTCTTGTCACAAAAGGTGTATGACCTTAGCCCTCCCGAGGTAAGTTGATGAAGGAGCAGAAAAATCCACACCTAGTGCATAATTTTACATTCTTAACAGTACAGGATCATTATCTAACTCTGTGCTTGCAGGATATTGCGCTTGCAAGCACACTGATGAGACCATTGCGCTTATTCAGTATGCAAGACATGTCCGAGGTGATTGTCTTGACGGATCAGAAATATGGATCAGTTCCTCGCGTATATATAATCTCTGAAGAAGACAAGATAACGGATAAAGAAGTGGAGAGATGGATGCTTAAGAAAAACCCTCCCAACAGAGTGGAAAAGATAAAAGGGTCTGATCACATGGTCATGGTTTCCCAACCCCTGCAGCTTTGGGTTCATCTGCAGAGCATTGCAGCAGATTTCGATTAACTGTTATTCTGCTAGCTCTTTTTCTGCAGTCTGCACTGATAAATGCTGAGGGGTGGAGTCACGGGGACACGGGTAGCTAGCCGAGGTTGTGCTCCCTAAGAATTACTTGGTTTCTTGGTGATCAAACTCTTTGCAAATCATAACACAGGTTCAAAGTGTGTTTATTGTTAATCACTGTCATAAACATTCAATTCTGACATTATCTAGCTCTGGTTTTTTATAAACTGAAACCAACAAAGAAGTCTAGGCGTTTTCAAAACATGACTACAAAAAATGTAGCGTAGCAGTGAAAAAAAAAAGCACCAAAACAGCATGTTGGTATTGCATGCCACAATATATACAAGTCAACAATTTCCCAAGGTGATTAATCACCAATTACAGCCTTCCAATATAGCAAGAGAAATGACACCATCACAAAACTACAAACTAATTGCTCATCACACAATTCAACATGATTAGCTCTTTCCCTAACAACATTTTAACTTCTCCTTGCTATTAACAAGAGAAAATCCAAGTTTACGCTCTTGCAAAATAGTAAATTTCGGGATAAAAATAGGTAAAACCTCTAATGTTGTCATCAGATTGTTAGCAGTTTTATCCAATTTAACCCCAAAATATTACGATTTTGCCTAACAACATCATTACAACTGCACTCCCTAAAATTCCCCTGTTCCCTAATATCAATTCATAATCCGTAGTAGACTAATAGCCGTGTTCCTACCTCCAATATAGCACGCGGGTTGTTACAGCATTGTTCAACCATCCTCCTCCCAATATCAAGTAATGGATGACGATTTACATGCTCTTGTAAACCCTCATCGTCAAATACTCTAGACTCAAACAATAGCCAAGAATTCTCCTCATACAAACCTCGCAGCACATATGTATAAGCTTGAGTCACCCCCTCTTTCTTAGCAAACAAAAAGCGGCGTACCCTTTTAAGGGCCTGATCATCTTTGTTTTCTTCAACGAACTTTGACTCAGCTAGTGTAAAGAGCTCATTGAGACAATCACCAACTTCATGAGCAACAGCCTTGAGTCGTTCATCAATGTACCCACGTGTTTCGCGAGATAGCTCAACTGCACGGAGAACTTTGATGATAGTGGAAATGGTTTTGATGATAGAATGCTCGGCTCAGTCAAATGAATCCAACACCGATTACAATTACTTTTGCTTTTTCATTGTTTAATCAAGCTTTAGGACCCTTTTCACAAACTTTGAAATGAATGGTAGTTATTCGCGAAAATAATAAAGTCGATCTTTAAATTCAATCAAGAATTGTTGGCAAAAACAAGATCAACTTCCTGTGAGGTTTATCATGCATTAATCTGTAGGTTATAGTGTGTTTACTGTTATTCTCTGAAATAAATAAAATTTTAAAAAACGATTCTGTAGGTTTTGGCATGCATGTATAATGACCCAATGTTCATAGTAGTGCAAATCTTCTCCACAAATTTGCGTTTTCCTTCGTAAATTTCCATTATCACCCATTCGGCCATTCCTACCCCCAAAAGGTAAAGAATGAGAATGGAGAGAAAGAATTTGACGCTTAGGCATGAGATAATGCATTACACTGAATAGACCTTTCTTCATCTCCCCAGCATACTGAGTGCCGAGGATGACCATCTCTCTTCTAGCAAGATTAAGGTCTATGCTAGTCGAGGATGTCATGTAATGTGTGTAACGATTACATGGGAACTTTCCAGCATTGTATATAGTGAAGTCTGGAGTACCAAAGTCCTCTAGTTCCTCGGGTGTAGGTCGGATGCACCTGTCACCCATCCAGTTATTAAATTTGCACACAAACACACACACACACAAAGCTAGATACATCCATTTTCAGCTTTCTTATCCTTGTGTATACATGCATTACCTTGAATTTTCATACATATTTATGTGTGGAATTAATATAAAGGTTTTTTTTTTTATTTTTACTCCGTAAGATACGGGAGGCCTTCTTATCAGAGAAGAGGGGTGAGGATGAACCCCCACCACTTGGGGCAGATGATAGAGGGACTAACCATGCCTCCACTCCTTAATTCTCAATTTCTCATATAAAATGTTCTCATGGATAATACACCCATATATAAATTTGAATGTCAATGTGATTAATTGATCTGTCCAAAATATGTTGAAGTTTGTTTAGTTTGGTAGTGGATCGTCAAATGAACTTCCACACTCATTAGCTCGATCATTTCCAATTACTTACTTCATTTAGAATTAATTTTAACAAATATTTAACCCTTAACTTATGACAAAAATAGTACTCCATAATTGTACAACAAACAAAACCAATAGCTATTCATCGTATGTAACTACAAAATACATTATTCTAAGCTCATTAAAGAAGAAGATAACATTTAAGTGATGAATGAATTCCTAAAAGGATATTTTTAAGATTCCTTGAAAAATTCAAAAACTTGGTTGTATTTGATGTAAGAAAGGAAATGATTGATCATATACGGATAAAAATATTGACCGACTTCGAATATTTTTTATTCAAATTATCAATTAGCTAAACTTAAAAGTTGTCATATGCTTTCGTGTCACTCTCCCATACATAAGGATGACATTTGGATGTTTTGACAATGGTTGGCTAACTTTTAGGAAACAACCTCAATTATTTTTTAGAAATAAAGATCATGAATGTTTTTTTTTTATCCTGTTATTTTTAGTATTTTAATTACAATAATTGTTTGGTGGTCCTAGATCCATCTAGATAAGCTAAGGTATGATACACATTGATTTCATTGTATTTTAATATAGAACTGTACTTTAATCAACCTACATAATACAAGTAAAATATTGAAATTTTCTCTTTTGAAGGCAATGGTAAGACCATAATTAGAAGACTTTCAACAAAAATTAAATTTAGACCATGATTAAGAGTGTCATTGTCAAACGTAGAATTCTATTCAAAGGAAGATGCATGGGGTTGCTCTGTCCCAACCACCCCAAAAAGAAAACCTTATTTATAGGCTTAATTTGCCACAAGTGGGTCCCCCCACGCTCCGCCTTTGCCCGCTGCCCCAACTACCAGCCCGAACCTCCGCGACTCTACTCGTGTACGCCCTAAGTTTTTGGTAGCTTGCATTGTTAAATTTATATTGAACAAATGACTAGTTAATGAACCCGTTTTGAAAAAAGTTGTTAGACTAACTATTATTGATATATAATAAGAAGGGAATTTACGAATACTCAAAGTCATACAACTAAACCCAAGTTTTGAAGAAATTGCAAATTTTAGCAAAAACGTCTCTCTAAAATCGTACCTATTGAAATAGACTAAAGCATAAATAAAAGTACGAGTAATAACAATAAAACAAAAATGTAACAATTTAACAAACAAGTTGCCGTGAATATCAATTACTACTAATCAAAACTGTGATAAAATCACAAAGAGTAACTAATCAATCAACAACATCCACTGTATCACTAATTAAACTTCTCCTAACCATCAATAAAAAAAAAAAAAAAAAAAAAAAAAACATAACTCGAAACGAAAATATAAAAAACAAAGAACAACATCCATCCATCTCATGAATGTGTTCTTATGTTTTTGTACAAATTCGATCATACACGAACATATTTACATATGATACATACGTAGTTCGACAACAACGAACTACATATATATGTAACAAAATTAAGGAAGAAGGCCAGGGTAAGGAAAAGGAACTTGGTAATTATAATTAAGAGTTCGACGATTACGATCTGTAAGAGCTTCACCATCAGCATCTAAACTTCGATGAACAACTGTTTTAACTGCATGAGCAAACGCTACTACAAATTCTACTCCTAATCTTACTAAACTTAAACACATCTCCACTTCTTTTATCACCATTCCTCCCATTTTTTCTTTCGAAATATGCAACTTCTAGACGCTGCGTATTTTATTTTTTGAGTGTGAGTTTTTCGAATGTTTGATGTTAATAAAAATGGAAGAAAAAGTGGGGTTTATATATAGTTTGAGATTGGGTAAGAAAACAATAATGGTTTTATGTGGCTAAGGAAATAAAGGTGAAGTTTTTGTTTAATTTGGCTCTTGTTGTATGCCAAAGGCCGTTTTTTGAATTTTCTCTCTCTTGTATGATTATGTTGATTAATGTAGTGTGATTTCTTTTGGGACCAATCCAAGTCATCACAAGGTTCCGAACACGGGTTTTTGCATTCATTCATTCATGTATGGTTAGGGGTATTTTGGTAATTTTACGTTGCGAGTTTTGATTGTCTTTACCTATTTTCCTCTCCTTGTAGTTTGTTTAGGGTGTACCGTGTACGTGTAAGCATATTGATGTCTTACATATGTAGCTCTATATGGATCGAAGGGATGGACTTTTTTTTTTCTTTTTGGCATGTCTACAAAATACAAACCCTACTTTTGGAGGCGCTGATGGTTTTTGTGTCACCAACTTAACCCTATTAAACGGTACTAAAATTTAAAATTCTATAGACAAACAATGTCGTTAGCGATACGGAAAGTAATCTCTTAAGAAGAAGTAATTGGTTGATATGAGTTAATTCAATACGCGATACAACACTGTGATTCATGTTGAGTTAGGCCACATATTTAAATCTCGATACAACAAAGACAAAGCATGAGAAAATAACTACTCCGTAAAATTTATGTGATTAACTAAATACGACATTACCCGACTTGATGAGCATGTATTGAGGATCAAGTCATGCCTAGGGTGTGCCTTCTCCACAATGGTTATCCTTCTAGTATTGATATATTTTGTATATGATCATTCCCAAATGAGGCCTTAGGCACCTTAGCCTGTTTTCAAGCACTCCATTAAGCACTTCGATCGACAACATTTTTAGCGGTCAACGGTTTTCTTGGGTTCAAACTTGTTTATCTCTTTAATAACTTAGGTCATGATTAGAGACTATAGAGAACATTTCGACCCATTGGACTATTGTGGACATTCGAAGACTAAGATCCATATTCTAATTCTACACCTTCCTTAAAGTTGATCAAGACTAAGTCTAGCAAGCACATGAAATTGCGATTCATTGTCATCTTTCTCATTAATTGCATTCTTATATAAATGTAATTTGTTTCTTAGTTTATTTTGTGATGTCAAAAAAAAAAAAAAAAAAAAAAAAAAAAAAAAAAAAAAAAAAACTCACTCTTGAATCTGGAAAAATTGATATTTTCGTGTTTAAGAACTAGCTTAGTTTTCTGTCCTAGCTTAAAGTATATATGTATCACACTAAAGGAATAATTAGGTTTAAAATTATCATTGATTAAATTTCTAGCCTTCTTACCTTCTAGGAATGAAGTTTAATTCTTAATTAAGAGTTGGTTAACTACTTCATATCACCGTGTCTAATAAAAAAAAAA